CAATCCAGTTTCGCTTAGAAAGCCCTCCACGAAGGCATCTCTTTCCCTAGACAGATAGCCGTCCTGTGCTTTGTCATATTAAAATAACCTTTTAACAATTATCAGTACTCTTACGCAAAAGAAAATTTCAGAGCTACTTAATGTTTTCATTTGAAGTTTCAGGAAGGCGGGAAAAGATTTTAAAAAAGTCAATTATTGGACAAAAGAATTTATGTTTGTTCAAGAGACTTATATAAGGTTTTCATTGCTGTTTCTGAGGGTTATTAATAACTCTTTCATTTAACTCGCTGGGACTTTCCTGGGAAGTATAGTAATTAGCTAGGGACTGCTATGCTTATTGTGTCTGGTTCAAATATTAGGTTGTGGCATAGATGCTCAGGACTCTATTGTCTTTACTACATGGAAGCATTTATAATTCGTCGATCCGATAGGTCTCTTAAGTGAGTGGTAGTAGAGGAAGAAGATATAGTGTTTTTGAATTCTATTCCTTGGGATGTACTCGAACAAAACTGAGATGCAACCCGAGTAGATAACACATGTGTATTCCCCCAGAATTGAATAAATTAATCCACTGAACTGATTTGGATGAAGAAATGACTCGAAAACGGGCTCTTCTTTCTGTTAGATTCAGATGAGCGTTACCTTCTATCTTTCGTCTACAGCTTATTACGGATGAATGGCGAATTCAAAAAACACTAGGAAGAATCCCTTTGGGCTATCAGTTATGTTTCTGAAGCATATGTAATAAATAGGAAATGGAGTTTTTCATTTAATTTTACCTTCTGCTCAAGAGTTAGTTCAAATGGGAAAACTTTAGGATCACAGATATGCAAAGCAAATGTTATTGATTTAATTGAAAATCGATTTGTGTTTAATTTTGACTTCTGATGTTATATTAGAAATTTCTGATATTATACTTTTAAAAATATTGTTAAATATGAATTACTCGTATAATAGTTTCAATAACAAAATCCTCCTCAATCCCACGATGAAGCTGTGTGTTTGAATTTTTGAAAAAAGGTTGCGTTATTACGAATCGTTATTAATTTAAGTTAAGGTTCGAAAAAGAAACTGTATTATATCGAATCATCGCTGATAGGGCCGTAGAATATTCCCGGCAAGACTTGTAACCATTATGCTTCTGGTAATACGAAAATGTTGAATAACTTTCTACCATGAAATATTTTAAATATTTCAATTTAGCTTAAGTAATTAATTCATATGTATAAAAATAATTTGTTTTCCGATAGAGATGCAGTATTTCCAATTAATTATAGAGCATTTTCATGGTGCGTGATTTCTTTGAAACACTGTACAGGTATTGATATTAGACTTACACTGTAATATATTGATGTAAAATTCATAAAATTCATTTGTACATTTAAAATTACATAAAAAAATTTCGTACATAAAGAAATACATCAGAAAAATTCACGCATAAAAAAGATTTAAGATTCATAATATTGTTTATATTGTTTCACTTATAATAAACTGGCTATCGAAATTTAAATACTACCAAATCAATTTTCCTCTCCTTCAAATATGTCGTTTTTTAGAATCTTATCGAATTTTTTATTATATGCAGTGCCTAAGAACCGAAAAAGAAATAATATGCTTTACAGAAAAGAACAAGAATCTAACTGTACCTTTTCAAAGAAAGGGACAGCAGAGGTTACCCGACATCCACTCATTCAATATTTCTGTTTCATTTACCTCTTCCTGTCACTTCTTGTCTTCTTCATGCTTCCCCTCACCCATCTTTCCTTTCCTTTCTCTTTTTATTAGTTCCTGATATCGCATATCCTAAAAAATATCGTGGTTTGGAAAAGTGTTATTGTCATCTAAGAGTAACTTTGAAAATTATAATGAACAGTAAATTTATGCACAACTTTCAATATAGGATTAAAACTCATTATAATTATTGTAATTCAACAAATTTCAACTAGAGCAATTAAGTACACCCTCATTACAGATGTGTAGTTTTTGATGTGCTTATTCCTCGCAATATATGCTGTTTATGAAAATACTAAAATCTTGTTTGAAAAGCTTTCCGAACTTTCAGATAATGATTACTGAAGATTCAAAGCTGCAAATTTAGAGACTGGAGAGTCTTGAAGGTATAAGTTGGGTTTAACAAAATCATTTTGCTAGATAGCTGAAGACCTAGCTATCGTTCTTGATGCTGATCTACAAGTTGACTTTCTTGGTTTCTGTAAGGCCCATGCTTATCTTAATCTGGAAAAATAAAAAGAGATAAAGGGAAAATGTTTAGATCACGCATTTATGCGATGCCGTATGAAACAGTTAAGAAAGATATCTTTACAGATCTTTGAATTCATGTTTTTACAGGCGATTTCATGTTTAAAAAAACCACTAGTGCTAGAACAGGAATCTAAACTGAACATTTTTCATTTATAAGGCGTCAAAAGGGACATGACTTGTTTCGTTGGTGGACTAGAGGCTATATTTGTAGCCCTAAAACAATTAATCACACGTAATAATAGTTTTCTCGAGGCTGTCATTCTATCTGATTGTAAAGCCGTCTTGCAAATTATCCCTAATAATAAATCTTACATTTCAAAACGAATTTATGATTGTAGGCAGTTCATAAACATTTTGGCTAACTCTCTCACTCTGCAATAGTATCCCGCTTACAGTGGCACTGAAGGTAATGAAAGAGCCAACTGCCAACTTCTTAGCAAAGAAAGGTACCTTTATCTTTCAAATGCCGAACAAATTAATAACATTTCTTTCTGTAAAACTCTTATTATAGGAGTTCAGAAAAAATTGTCATTCTTACGTTTTGTATGAAGCTAAGATTTTAATAAGGCCTTGAGTCTTCTTTATTCCAGGTTTTCTTCATTATTCAGCTATTCTCTACTTTGCCTGTTAACTGGATACTATTGTTCCAGTGTCTGTTTACATAAAACGAGTCTTAAGCACTCTCCTATCGGTACTTTGAGTAACTCTGGATGTTCTTTGAATGGAGAGCATTCCACTTAATGATTTTCGTTATTGTATTAAAAATATTAAGAAGTTAGTAGTCTAATGACTTAAGTGCTAAGTGCCTTGCATTTGCAACAACAGAAACAAAAGTGCTGAAAAGCTAGCTAGTGTAGTTATAGCTCATCTAATTTTTTAATTAGTTTAATAATATCTCATATAACTTAGTTTTTTTACGTCATTTAAGAAAACTGATATGCACAGCAGGTTTGCTCAGGTTATCTTTAATTGATGCCTTAAGTATAAGCCCTATAGATATAAATGCTGCTTTCGTGGTGTCTTGAGAATTAATTGGTACTTGTATTTTGATCCGCTACCGTTGCACAGTACTGCTAATCTGTAAAAACTATAGATTAGTGCTGTTGTATAATAACAGTAGATTACAAGTTCACTATCCAGCTAAATTTTGCGCATATGCATAATGTAATCTAAACGCGTGTCTTCATTTCGCATTTATTATGTACAATGAAATTATTGTTTTAAGTTTTGTTATTTATTCTTGTATTCTCTCTAGTAGTCTGTAATATCTCTGGTTCTGTCTTCTGTAGTATTCTGTATTACTAGTTTTATGTAGTATCAGTATTCAACTCTAGTATTCTGTAGTATTCTTCACTGTTCTATAATATTCTGTAATACTGTTATATTGTACTTCTCGTGTCATTTATCTGCGGATTATATTTAACTGCAATTCTGTATCCTCCTCAAAGGATAATTCAGCTATCATTAACTAATATCTGTGCGTCTTCAAATATAATCAGATATCCTTATTAGTATACTATCGTATGTTGGATAATTGGTCTGATCTACCTTCCGTATAAGTGGATTGGTTTTGACAAATATGTTACTTCTGTTGGTTCAGACGCTAAGCTAAAACTTCGAATGGAGCTGTTTTCTCTCCACTGTACACACTACACTGCTATTATATGTACATACACTGCTATTACTATAAGTAGTATGTACATACACTATATTATATAGTTTTCCTGCTGCTTAATTTTGAGCCGTTAAATCATTCAAGGTAATCGTAATAGACTGCCAATCGATTTTTCGTCCTGTCTCACTGCTAAAAGAAAGTGTCAAAATTAAATTTTAAAATAAAACTATTTATTGACACTTGGACCTTATGGTTAAACAAACTGAAAAGTTGACAGAAATAGACTCCGCTAGCTTGCGGGTAAACGACACTCACGTTCAAATTAAATCAAATGTAGAGTACAAAATGAACAAATCCAGTCTAAACCTTAGTTCATTTATGACTGACTGTGAAGAAATCGCCACTTGCAGAATCTTATACCGGCAAGCAAAATTGCAGCAGTAGAAAAATTAATTTCACTGCCAGCCTTCGCTGCCAAGCTCCATCTGAAAACCTTAGGAGCGAGCTCGAAGCTTAACTCTTTAAGTGCCTTCTCGAAAGCTTATCAATTCTGAACAACTTAACAAACTTTAATTAAGTTGCATTCTGATGGCAGTTGACAAAAGTTGAAATTATAGTAAAGCCAAAAAAATAAAAGTGGGATTATTAAAATATTACTCTATAACTACTACTGTAGATTAGCGCTGAAATCAAATCTATTCTTGCTGAGAGATATTAGCAAAGAATCGCCGCAAAAAGGAATCGCCATTTATTTTTATTTAAAATATAATTTGAATCTCACTTTTGAACTAATTATCCTCTAAATTTGCTTGACTAAATCAAATCTATTTACTTATTTTCTTGATTGTGTCTTTACAAGGAAGGAGTCTTGCCCTAAATGATTATTAAATTTTGGTTCTATAGCATATCGAGCTCAAGAATTGAAAGCAAACTGATTAGTGGTTTAAAATTCATTACTTTTTAAAATATCTTGGAAAATTGCTGAAGAAATTTCTTATAATTTTGACTCTCAAATTTATTGTTTTTGGTCTATATTCAAAAAACGGTTATTAAAATGTATAATTTCAAAAGAGATTCCATTATTGTGCTGTACTTAAAAAATGTCTTTTTCCCCCCTTTTCAGATACTTCTGAAATGTCTTTGAAGTCCCTGCCTGTTCGAAGATGATTTGTTTTTTTCACCATTGACTTCTTCCAGCTGCATTTTCTGAAAAGCAAGTAATTATGTTTGTTCAAAGATTTGTTTTGCTTAACATAGCGTATTTTCACTTTACTTTATTCTTGTAATCAAGTTAATGAAACATTTGAAAAGAAATCATCCTTGAATTAAACTATGAAGGTTAAATTCAGTGTGTCGATAATGTGTAAGGTATTCGAAAATACAGGCTTTAAATATCGATCGCAGACATGTACTTCTAATTTAAAAATTTTCCAGAAACAAAGGAGAGAATTTTGTTATAATAGTTTCAGTGTTATGTGTCGGAAGATTATGTAAAAGTAATATCGAACATTTTATATAACATTCAAAACTATTACTCTGTAAAATACCTTTTATGCTTTAATGAATTAAAAGCAAAATTTTTCGTACATTTGCATGTAAGGTTTGCAGAAAAATGCTTAAAAATATTTTTAAGGGACTAGCTACAAATGTAATTAAGAATGCTGTTTTAATCAGCATGAAACCATTAATCATCAAAATAGGTAGTTTGGGCTTGGTTGCTTCTTTTTATGAAATTCCTTTAATTGAATTCAAAATTGGCAAGGAAAAATAACGCAGTTTCGAAAATTCGTTATTGATTATCTCCTCGAATAGATTCTTCCCCAAATTCAAACAGGATTGCTAATGTATAGTAACCATGAATCTTTTAATTGCTTAAAATATCCCATATCTCAGAAAATAGTTTTCGTATTATCTTTTTTTTACTTCGTACAAAGCAAAACTTAAACTGAGGAAATTCTCAAAGTTTATCGATTTAAAATAAGGTGTCCACAGGATTCTGTTTCTAAGCATTAGCTGTCAAATATAATTATGAATGAAAATTTCTTGTCATGTAAAATTCATTACTATCTATCTAAAAACTTTTGCTGATAACTTTTTGTTAATTTTTCAATGTGAGAAATTTATTATAGCAGTTCTACTGCTCAAAATGTGCTTGTAATTGTTCTTAGATGAGCTACAATTTATAAATTAAAATTTAATCTTATAAAAATCAAAATATTCACAGTTAATGTCAAACTTGAGAGATTAAATTGAGTGTATGGGAGATACAAATTCTTTTTAAGAAGAGAAAGTAATCAAATACTTGGGAGTTTTGCTTGATATAAAGTTTAGTGGAAAGGATGCATCCTTTCCGCTAAATTACAAATGCGAGTGAAAAACCTCTTACTGAATTTTTTGCATTTCTCGGAAATAGTTAAAATTTCAAAACAGAAACTCTTATAAGCAAACAATTGTTCTAATTTTCATTTCTTCATCAATGGTTTGGGGGTTAGTAACCCCCAATAAGAATATAAAAACGAAGATCCGTTAAAAAAATTCAGTGGTTTCTTGCTGCGTCTCGTTCAAGATTATAGGACAATCAGTTATAAAATTCTTTTTGTTCTTTCCGATATTCCATCATTTGATTTCCAAATTTTAATCTACAGAAACTGCCAGAGACAATGTTTTCGAGTCATGATTCAGCATTGCGTTAGGTGGCCCATTTTTCATGCTTTAACTTCCATATTCGCCACTGAGACTCGCTTTATTTTAAGGACTAAAAAAAAAAAAAAAAAAAAAAAAAATCACAAGACTTTTGCCTTGACATGTACAACATACCTTCAAAGTATAATTGTTCATTTTTGAATAATTTTTTTTTAGATATAATGACTTGATTTTTGACGTCATCTAAGGGGAAAAAACATTTTGATATTTTTAGGCCCAGATTTTTGACTGTTTTAATAATATATATGGGTTTTCAGACTGAATTGAAAGCTTCACCTTGATTTTTTATGTTTTTGATTAGTTGGTCCAAGAATATTCGCGGTAACAATATTCACGGTTTCATGCTGTGTCACATTCTGAAGCTTATTAGATAGGGGCTACAGTGATGCAAGTTGGTTTCTACTGCGTATCAAACATTTTCATTCGGATTTCAATCTGGTGTACATGCCAGGCCATACCGTGCAGTTGATTCTTTCGTTTTCAGAGTATTTTGATACTGACAAGTATTATCGCTTATTAGAGCAAAAACTCTGAAAAGTCTCACACAAGAATCGAGATTTTCATCTCTGTATCATTTAGGAATCACAAATGCGCCAGTGAAGATGGCTAGGTCAACTACGGCCATTCAGAATGATGACTGTCCAGGCCAAGCTTCTGCTAGCTTTCGTACCTACTTCTTGCGGTGGTGACGCCAGAATTATTACGTGTCCTCAGATTAAAACACGTCTAAAATCGTTTTCTAAAGAAAATCTAAAGTAATCGGTACAACCAACGATGCTCCCAATTACAATGATGTCTGCAGCATTTTAACCAAGCGCTGTTCAGGCTGCGATTTGTGATTCCTGGTGGATTTGTAATTCCTGAAAGATACGGAGACGAAGATGTCGATTGTTTTGGGAAACTGTGATGAAAGATGTATAGAGATATTTTTTTATCAAGCCTTTCCTTCCATAGTGTTTCGAGATATCCAGGATCCTATTTCTGTAGCAAATTCACCTACAATTTTCGTAACAATGGTTCACCTGTATCTTTAGGCGACATTAGTCAGTAAACGGTTCTAAGAAGCTGTTATGACATTTTCCTGCCTTTAGCCTGGCCATCAAAATAGATTTTTATTATCGTTGAATCAATTTCGGTTCTGGAAAGGGCATTTATGAGTACTTTTAGGTCTTTTCTTCACTGCGCCTGCTTCTGTCCAGCCTATAACTTACCGATCGCACACCGTTTTCACAATCAGTCAAATGCTTTAACAAAGCATTTTTCACTGTCCACGTATGGATTTCCCTATTACTATCAAAATCCTTTCAATTGGAATTTAAGCAACGGTTGGTTTTCCCATCTAAAAGATCAAAGAGTATAGCTGCAATAATTTGTATATTCTTGTGCAGTGAGATCGGATTCTTTTCGGTTTTTCCATTGGCATTAACAAGGAATGGCATAGCCGTAAGACTTAACTAAATTTTATGTAATAAGTAATTTTTATAAATGAATAAATTATTTCACTTCACCCCCCTCCCGAGTTCGTTTTGAAAAATTATGATGAAATTTGTTTATAGATGAAAGTAAAGTGATTAAGCTGGAATTGAATCTTGATAGTAGTAAAAGGGTACTTAATTTAAGTGGAATTGATATAAAATCGTACATTGCTTTATTCAATTTAAAAGTATTCAGAGTTTCTCTCTCCTGCTTATTTTAAAATCATTTTTCACTCTTTCCATCCTAATTTGGAATAAAATATGTGATTTATTTATTCTCATTGTAAACTTCCCAGCAAGATCACGCTCTTTAATGTTACGCTAAGTATTATAATGAATACGATCACATTCTCTTGCAGTACCCAGAAACAAAATTGGTATCTTCTAGCTGTGTGTTCTCGGGTGATTGTTGCGATCAGAATCTGAGCTATTATTCCTGCTTTCTGTTACTTAAGTTTATATCATCAGGCAATGGATATTCACTTTTTGTTACCATATAAGGAGTTACCTTTATGCTTCAATGCTTATTGTAACTGCTGTTATCTAACCCGGTTATGTTTTGGTAAGAACAAAATTGTTCTGCTGAGGAAGTTGGATAGATAACTTTTTCCATATGATATTTTTACGCTTGACACACTTTGAGTGCTTTTTCTTTTTTCGCTGTCATTATTAAATTGCTAAATTGTAGTTTTTGTTGCTCAAAAATTTTTAAAGGAAGCGGAATATTTCCCAACGAAAAGCAATAATACTGAATTTGCAGATATTTGGTACAAACTGTGCCGAATGGTGATTTTTTAATAATTTCGGCGAGTTTTTACTTCTTAATGTGTGGAGATGACTCTTTTTCTTTTCTTTTTTATCCCCTGACAAGACGTCAAAGGAACTTCAAAGGGCATTAAAGGAGTATCCATAATTTTATTTTTTTGAACTTAAGCTGTCGTCTACCGTCTAATGACCCACCTAAAATAAATTTCTTTAGAAAAATCATAAACCAACAGGAAGTCGGATGTTTTCATCTGATTCTTACCGCATATTCAGAATCAGTAGGAAATACTTTTATGTACTTCATCAGCAATCTTGTGTTATTTACAACAAAAATCGGAATCCCACAGTTGTCTACAAAACGGGTGAAATCACTAAACATGTTACTTTCATGCAGGACGTATTCCCACAAGCAAAGGTTCGCTGCACAAAAATTTGGCAGTTTTCTTGGGTGTGTATCTAAATGTAAACTAGTTTTCCTTCAATTATCTGGGTGTCATGTTATCCAAGATAAAATAAAAAAAAATCGCGTACATTATCATAACTCTGTTGACGTATCTCTCAACGAAAACTGGATTTTCTGCATTTGTGTAAAAATTTTAAACTGTGGTTATTTTATATCCTTGTTTTAGTATAGGAATTATCAGTTTAAAATCGTTCGTTCTGAACTAACCAGGAGACTTAAGATGTAATTCATTTCGATTTCAGTTTGTGTTGCATTGAATGGGCTGGTAACGTAAAGAAGTTTTTTATATAGTTTACCTATAAATACGAGCCAATAGAAAACGGTCTTACCAGTAATAGACGAGGTTTATTCTTTGGTATATAATTGAATATTTCTCTTTTTGGAGAAAAGATTGAAAGATGCATGCTTAGCTCATTCAGATTACTAAGTTATGAAAAAATGCTTAAAACATCAACGCAGTGTTCTTTGCACTTTGAAACAGGGAAAAAAAAACTTTTCAACGCGCTTCAATAATTTCACCATAATTTGTTAGGCCAAAATATTTTGTTTTGAGTGTTTTCATAATAAATGTTCTTTCAATGATTATATAAGTTTTCGCATAAAACCCACTAACTCAGAAAAAGTAAATAAATTTTGCTCTTCTTGAAATTCTGTATCTCAACTTTCTCTCTTTGTCCTCTTAAGATGATAAATTTCTGAAGCGTAAAAAGAAAACAGTATAAATAACTACACCGTTCTACTAATCATCAATAAATTTTTACTGAAAGCACTGTAAACCGAAAAAAGAAATGAATGGAATTTTTATGG